CTAAAAATACAAAAAATTAGCTGGGCATGGTGGCGCGTTCCTGTAATCCCAGCTACTCAGGAGGCTGAGGCAGGAGAATTGCCTGAACCCAGGAGGCGGAGGTTGCGGTGAGCCGAGATCGCGCCATTGCACTCTAGCCTGGGTAATAAGAGTGAAACTCCGTCTCAAAAAAAAAAAAAAAAAAAAAAAAAAAAAAAAAAAAAAAAAAGTGACACTTTTGCAAAGACCTGAAGGAAGAGAAAGAAGAGGATGAACATTCCAGGCAGAGGGAACAGCAGGTGCAAAGGCCCTGAGGTTGGACCCAAGAAATGGCAGAAAAGGGCCAGGCATGGTGGCTCACGCCTGTAATCCCAGCACCATGGGAGGCCAAGGCAGGAGGATCATCTGAAGTCAGGAGTTCAAGACCAGCCTGGCCAAGTTGGTGAAACCCTGTCTCTACTAAAAATACAAAAATTAGCTGCATGTGGTGGCAGATGCCTGTAATCCCAGCTACTCAGGAGGCTGAGATAGGAGAATTGCTTGAACTCAGGAGGCAGAAGTTGCAGTAAGCCGCGATCATGCCACTGCACTCCAGCCTGGGTGACAAAGACAGACTGAAAAAAAAGAAATGACAGAAAGATCTGTGAAGCTGGAACAGAGTAAGTGAGGAGGGAAAGCAGGAGTGGGTGAGAGGTGACAGGGCAACATGTGAAGAGTCTTGGCCCAGAGGAGGACTTGGGTTTTACTCTGAGTCTGGTAGGAGCAGGGTTCTGGGCTGGAGACGGCCACTTTGACTTCTGGACTTGGACTCCAAGCAGGGGGCTCCCAAGGGCGGCTGGGGGGGGTCCTCTCTTTGTCCCCTGATCACTGAAACTCCCCCCCCAACCCCAGCCAACTGCCTTTCACACTGCATTTCACACTCTGCCTGGGTGGCGGGACAGCCTGAGGGCCCCAAGCCAAGCTGTGGTTGGGGTTTTCCGACAGTGAGAATCAACCTCCACCTACCTTCCCACCCTCTTACCTCTCACGCCCAAGACCCTGAATCCAGCGAAGCTCACAGGGCGCACAAGAAGTCCAAGGAAGAGTCGAGGGTCCAGTGGAGCCTCTGAGCTAGAGAAGGGTGTCCGGGGGGGGATGTTGGGACAGGAGAGAGGAGGTTTGGTAACCACTCCCCAGCCCCCAGAGCCTGGGAGTGGAGCTGGGATGCTGGGCCCAGGAGGCCAAACTATAAATATTTAGCATTTCCCGAATGAGAAATGAGACAGAGTTGCCAGATCCCCCTGCCCAGGCCACCAGAGCGTGATAACACAGGTCAGTGTCCTGGACATCCCTCCCCTTCCCCGCCACCCTCCACTGCAGATCCCAGAGCATGGGAGGCTGCAGGCCCTGGGGCAGCCAGGCGGGATCCCAGCCCCAGACACTCACACACCACACATAAAATGAGGAACGTCACTGGGGACTCACTGTGTGTAAGGTATGGCTTTAAACTCTCCACACCTTTCCTGTCATTTGATCCTCACAACCTGAGCTGGCTTCTCTATATATAGCCTCATTTTACAGCAGGGAAACAGGCTCAGAGAGGGTGAGTGACTTGCCTGCGGTCACACAGCCGGAAAGAGACCAGGACGAAAAGCAGCCGAGGTAGCTTGACTCAGAAACTCACACATATATACCACAGCAGTCATACACATATGGGCACATAACAGAGCAGACACAAAGATACACACACACACACACACACACACACACACACACACACACAAATTAACACCCAGCAAAAGTCCGGGTACAGTAGCTCATGCCTGTAATCCCAGCACTTAGGAGGCCAAGGCGGGTGGATCACTTGAGGTCAGGAGTTCAAAACCATCCTGGCCAACATGGTGAAACTCCATCTCGACTAAAAATACAAAAATTAGCCAGGCATAGTGGCATGGGCCAGTAATCCCAGCTACTTGGAAGGGTGAGGCAGGAGAATTGCTTGAAGCCAGGAGGCAGAGGATGCAGTAAGCCGAGATCAAGCCACCACACTCCAGCCTGGGGGACAAGAGTGAAACTCCTACCTTAAAATAAATAATTAATTAAAATAAAAAATAAGTATAAAAGACACAGTTGGACATTTTTATTTTTACTTTATTCATTTTTTGAGACAAAGTTTCACTCTTTTGCCCAGGCTAGAGTGCAATGGCACAATCTTAGCTCACTGCAACCTCTGCCTCCTGGGTTCAAGAAATTCTCTTGCTTCAGCCTCCCAAGTAGCTGGGGTTATAGGCGTACACCACCACACCCAGCTATTTTTGTATTTTTAGTAGAAACAGGATTTCTCCATGTTGGTCAGGCTGGTCTTGAACTCCTGACGTCAGGTGATCCACCCACTGGAAATTTTTAAATTGTGGTCGAATAAATGTATTCTTTTTCTTTTCTGAGACAAAGTCTCACTTGGTCACCAGGCGCCAGGCTGGAGTGCAGTGGTGCGATCTCAGCTCACTGCAACCTCCACCTCCTGGGTTCAAGCGATTCTCCTGCCTCAGCCTCCCGAGTAGCTGGGACTACAGGCGCCCACCACCACACCCAGCTAATTTTTTGTGGTTTTAGTAGAGACAGGGTTTCTCCATGTTGGTCAGGCTGGTCTTGAACTCCTGACGTCAGGTGATCCACCCACTGGAAATTTTTAAATTGTGGTCGAATAAATGTATTCTTTTTCTTTTCTGAGACAAAGTCTCACTTGGTCACCAGGCTGGAGTGCAGTGGCACAGTGGCGCCATCTCAGCTCACTGCAACCTCCGCCTCCTGGGTTCAAGCGATTCTCCTGCCTCAGCCTCCCGAGTAGCTGGGACTACAGGCGCCCACCACCACGCCGGCTATTTTTTATGTTTTTAGTAGTGATGAGGTTTCACCATGTTGGCCAGACTGATATCAAACTCCTGACCTTATGATCCGCCCACCTGAGCCTCCCAAAGTGCTGGGATTACAGGCGTGAGCCACTGCGCCCAGCCAGAGGAAATATATTAAGTGAGAAAAACTTTCAGGAATCAGAACTTTAACATGTTAAAGTTAGTGTTAAACATTGTCATATTGGAGCTGAACCTATCCTAATATGTAACCATAAAGCTTGACTTTTGCATTAGAATTATGCTTTCATAAATAAAGGATATCCCACTGATAAAAAAATAAAAGACACAGCTGGAAACATAACACAGTTTCAGGCAACAACTGTATGTTCCAAATACGGTCACACATACATCACAACTTAAAGGGAAATGGGGGTGGGCTGAGTGGGTCTTTTTCTTTATTTCCCGTTTTTTTTTTTTTTTTTTTTGAAAGGGAGTTTTACTCTTTTCATCCAGGCTGGAGTGCAATGGCATGATCTCAGCTCACTGCAACCTCCACCTCCAGGGTTCAAGTGACTATCCTGCCCCAGCCTCCAGAGTAGATGAGATTACAGGCGCCTGCCACCACACCCAGCTAATTTTTGTACTTTCAGTAGAAACGGGGTTTCTCCATGTTGGCCAGGCTGGTCCCGAACTCCCGACCTCAGGTTATGGGAGTGAGCCACCGAGCCTGGCCCTAAGTGGGTCTTTATCTGTGTGTCAGACTTGTCCACACCCTGGTTCTTGTGATCACACTGTGATGCACAGATACAAAACAGGTACACACAGGTGACTCCCAGATACCCATCCACCACACCACGGAGGTCACCATTGGTCTCCCACACACTCGGTCATATTTTCACACAAGTCAAATCACATGGGGACAGAACTGGGAGAAGTAACCATGCAGTCATTTCCCAGGGGAACGAAGAAACTCACGTAGAGCCCCGCACAGTCCAGGCCCAGGGTCCGAGACCTGTCCGAAGGTCCCACTGACAACCAGCCACACGCTGGAAGAGCTGCCTCCTTCCCCTGGTCCGCACCGTCTTGAGCTCCCAAGTAACTGGAGTGGACTCCAGGGTTGAAAGAGGAAATGGTCGTCCCAGATCTGAGAGAGGCTGCCAGGCTGGGCTCTGGGCCTGAGCTGGGGCCCCCATACTGGGCCCCTCGCCCTCCCCCGCCCCCCACGCCCCACTCTCAGCCCCCTCTGGCTTCCCCGTTGGCAGTAGAGAGGGAGTAAACGTCATAAGTCACAGAGATGGGCTGAAGAAGACAGACTCGGACAGATGGAGATGGGAGAGACATAGGGAGATGGCAGAGATAGGGGGAGATGGGGAGATGGGGAGAGACACAGGGTAGCAGAGGAGAAGAAAGCAACAGGAATGGGGCCAGACAGAGAAAGGAAACTTCTTTAGTTATAAATGACGAAAGAGACAACTGATGACAGAGCCAAAGTTGCAAGATGGAGACAGAGACAGGGAGAAGATGAGAGGGAAGAGAGACAGATATGGGGGAGAGGAGGAAGAATTGGGGTGCCGGAGAGAGCCAGGAGGGAGAGGACGCCGATGGGGGGAGAGGAGAGCAATGTTCAGCCCAGGGAGGGGGTGTCCCTTCCCCCAACTGCAAGGTTTTGAGGACGAAGCCAGAGGCCTGAGGCCAAGACTGAGGCTTTGAGTGGAAAGAAGGAGGGGCGAGTTATTCACGAAGCGCCCGCCTTGCCCTGAGTTTCCAGAAGGTGATGTGGAGTTTCCATCCTTCAGCGGGTCTGCAGACAGGAGTACCCGGGGAAGGACAGTTGGCCCAGAGGAGCTGCGGGATCAAAATGAATGATTGCTACAGTCCTTATTCCCTCTACTGGCTTCTCCCCAAGTACCTGGCGCCAGAGCGCCCCACATTGTGCATACATGATCGCTCCTCATTCGTGGGCCCGGAGGACATTATCATCCTCACTTTGGGATATTTTAGAAGCCTCGGAACGCAGAAAGTGGTTTTAGCCCAGCTTGAGGAAATGGGCCGAAGCAGGATTCGAACTCACAGATCAGTTTCTCTGCAGCGGAGAGCCGCGTAGCCCCGCCCCGTCCCCCTAGAAACAGGCCTCCCTGTCTCCATAGCAACCGCTCCACCTGATTGCCCCTCCCTGCTCCCGGAGGCCACCTAGTGCGCAGGACCACCTGATGACGTCACCACGCCGTGCCGATTTCCGTGAGGCCTCTCAGACGCCGGAAGTGAGCTGTGCGGCGCCGGAATCGGCAGAGGAAGCCTCGCTGAGGACACAGCAGCATGGGGCGGTCAGGAAGGGTAAGGCGCGGTGGCTGGGGAGGCAGGAGGTACAGGTGGGGTCTCGGTCCGGGTCGCGGCGCTCACTGTTTGTTTTTCGCCGCCGTAGTCCCGGCACCAGAAGCGTGCGCGCGCCCAGGCGCAGCTCCACAACCTCGAGGCCTATGCCGCCAACCCGCACTCGTTCGTGTTCACGCGGGGCTGCGCGGGTCAGAACATCCGGCAGCTCACTTTGGACCTGCGGCGGGTCATGGAGCCGCTCACTGCCAGCCGCCTGCAGGTCAGTACCTCACCCCTAGCCCGTCTCCACCAACCCTGAGCTTCGTCTTCGCGCCTCAGTAATGCCTCCCTGTGGGAGGCCTCAGTCTCCCCAGCTGGAGAAAGGGACCCTTATGGGGAGTATCATCTCTGCCTCAGGGCTTCCCTGGGCAGGAGCGAGGGCGCACAGCTTTCGGAATAGTTAGTAGCCTAAGCGCGGCGGTTAAGACTGGAATCTCTCCATCATCAAATAGAAGTGATATAAAAAAATAAAAATAAAAAAGACGAATCTGGAGCCTGGCATGGTGGCTCAGCCTGTAATTCCAGCATTTTGGGAGGCTGAGGCGGGAGGCTCATTTGAGCCCAGGAGTTCGAGACCACCCTCGGCAGTATGGCGTCTTTACAAAAAAAAAAAAAAGTAGAAAAGTTAATCTGATATGGTGGTGCATGCCTGTAGTCCCAGCCACTCGGGAGGCTGAGGTTGGAGGATTCCTTGAGCCCAGGAAATTAATTAAGGCTGCAGTGAATCAGGATCATGCCACTTCACTCCAGCCTGGGCGACAGGGGCAGGCCATGTCACACACACACACACACACACACACACACACACACACAGACAGACAGACACACCCACACACACACCCACACCCCGCTAGAATCTGGAGACAGCAAAGCAGGGTTCGAAACTGACTTTTCCCCAGTACCTGAAGCTAGTTACTTAATCTCGTTAGGCCTCGGTTCGCTCATCTGTCAAATGGGAAGATGCACTGTGAGCAAGAGACAGAGTTAGGGGCTGGGCGTGGTGGCTCACGCCTGTAATCCAAGGACTTTGGAGGCCAAGGCGGGTAGATCACCTGAGGTTGGGAGTTCAAGACCAGCCGGACCAACATGGTGAAACCCCGTCTTAAAAATAATAATAAATAGGGCCGGGCGCGGTGGCTCAAGCCTGTAATCCCAGCACTTTGGGAGGCCGAGGTGGGTGGATC